TATTTACTCAATTTTTTTCAAGATAATCCTTTTAATAATTATAGTTCTAATTAATACACTTGATTAGCAAAGATATTTTAAGAAAGACAACACTTATTTAGGACAAATAACTAACTAATTACTTTTTAATCTCCTTAAATTAGTTAACTGATTCTTATAATTAGGATTAGAGATAGTATTAGGTAATGTCCAGAGATTAGTCCTATTGAAAATGGGTTTTTCAATTTTTTTATTTATATAGAATTTTTTTGCTAGCTATTTAATAGAAGTTAAACAAAATAAAAATTTTGTTGTTGTAGCAGTGGGACAGAAATTAAAAATATTTATGGAAGAATTTTTTAATTTATGGGACATTTAAAAAGAAGGATTGTTATTTAGAATAAATAAGAATGATTTTTTAAATATCGAATAAAACTGAATGATTGTAAAGGGATGAGAAATAACTAGTTATTTATGGGTTAAATAAGAAGAATTTAATGAAGTGGTGTGAGGTGGATGGATGGGCAGGTGACGAAGCGTGTGGACACAGACGAGGGGGAGTGGGCGGACTGGAACTGGCGGACGGAGGGAGACATTATGGTCAACGGCGCCTTCTTCGTGCCGTCCGGCGGTGGTTTCAGCGCTCAGTACGCCAAAGCCTCCAGCGTCGATCCCAAGTCCGCCGTCCAGATCGACCAGCTCACCCTCAACGCCGGCGTCTTTGGCGATCCCAGGTACTGTCTCTCTCCCTCTCCCACATCCCAAAAGGCTATTATCGTCTTTTCACAGAAATATCTGTACTGGGCTGGCCACCGCTCTTATTTCAGAAATTTTTAATTGGCCTTTGTCCTCTCTCCAGCATGGCCGTTCCCTTACGGGACCTTGCAGTTTTGCACTATTGATTATTCTCTCTCCCTCTGACCTCTGTCCTTTTTGTCATTAAAAATAGTTGTACTTCACCCTTAACATAAAAACTATTTAATTGTATTAGGTCATATATTAATTCATAAGATAGATAAACCAAATTAAAATCTTGTATAAAATTAGAGGACTAAATATATATTTTAGTCTTTTTAATTTTGATTATAAGTTGAATAATAAATGGATTTTAAGAAAGAATGAAAGAAGAAGAGGGGTTACAGGGGATTGTGGGACCAAACAGCCAAAAAGCCACACGCTCTCACACTCACTTAGCTGTCTTTCCTTTATAAGTCGAACCCTGACCTTCTTGTTTTAGAGGGATTTTCATGCTACTAAATCATAATTTCTTACTTTTCACTTTCCTAACACTTTATATGGCATTTCATATCGTGCATAGAATAAATAAAATGTACATGGAGGAATATTTCATGAAAATGACGTTGGAAGAAAAATGAGGAATGGAGTTACAGACTTATAGAGGAAGCACATGGGAAAGGAGTCCTCCCCGCTCCATCTTCCAAAATCTTCAACTTCTCACTCCAAATTAATATTCCCTGTGCTCTGCTTTCCACCCTGGGCCCCTCCTCTTACTCGCATTCTTAATTTTTGAGCGAACTGGAATAATAAAACTATCTCCTGTCCTTGATATAAGACCTTATTTAACTTTTGTTTTGATTCTAAATATAAGATCCTAATCCATTTTGTTTCTCATATTTACTCAATTTTTTCCAAGATAGTCTTTTTAATAATCATAGTTCTAGTTAATACACTTGATTAGCAAGGATATTTTAGGAAAGACAACACCTATTTAGAACAAATAATTAACTCAACTTATTTTCTTAATCTCTTCAAATTAATCAACTAGCTCTTATAATTAGGACCGGAGGTAGTATTTGCTAAAACAGGAATCTAACTTACCCAAAAGCCTTTTTACTCTCTAGTTAACAAGACATTTTGTGGGACAATCTCTGATTGGACACAAACTTAGACCCTCACAGCTTCCAATTCACAAACAGCTAAGCTACTTTCCGTGTCAGCATTGGAACAGCCACTCTCTCTACTTGCTCTTCACTTTTACAATTACCCATTGCCTGCTGTCTCCCATTCTTTTCTAATCTTTCCCTGACTTACCACTTTTACCGTCCTTTTCCCTTCGTCTTTGCCCAAAAACTCTTTTCCTTCCCATACTTTGACCCCAAAATAACCTCAACTTTATAGATAATTACACCACTGAAGCCAAATCTTCTCACATACACAGTGTGCTGCATTATTTATATGTGTATGTATCAGAAATTTACATGCAAGGGATGCCATGTTCCTTTTTATGAAATGATTTGTCTTGTTCTCAGAGTTTGCAGTTCCATATTGGGGTAGAGTGCCCTACAAAGGCATCTCCTTTTTGACATGTGGGACCCACTGACCCTCCCTCTAGTTATTACTTTATTATGATTCTTACATTCCTCATTAAGGGCCGCAAAACTTGAGGGCTGCCACTTCAGGAAAAAAAGGCTCCTCTCGCGTTGTTTTAAGACGCCATCACCCCTCAATTTTCTACTGTTTCTTGCCTGTCTTTTGCTCCTCAGTTCAGATCCAATAATACGGTGCTGCAAGAGCAGTAGTATGTATTTACAGGGAAGTGATATAAAGTATGAATTTGATTTGATTGATAAATATTTTATTGAAAAAGAGCTCGTGAGTGCACCAAGCAAGCGCATCATTAGGCAAGAAAATTGAGTCTGAAAAGGAAAAGGGAGAGATTTTCAAGGATCTTCATTTAATCGCTATGGGACGGCTTGTTGAATTGTCACGAGAGATTGATGCTCATGTGGTGCATTTATTTGGAAGTATAATAACTTGTATAATTATTGTTGTGAAGGGATAATGGGGATCTGTTTCCCGGGTTCAGCGGCAGTGGGGCCGTCGGCGGCGCCACCAGCACCGGCAACGTGGGTTCCAGCAGCGGCGACGATGGGGACTTCTTTGGAATGATATTCAAGGGTAGTAGCAGCGAAGCAGCACCACCCTCACTCTCCATTGTTTCAATCTTTTTGTCTATTCTCATTATTTCCATTTTGTACACTTTCACCAGCCATGCCGTCCTATTGTCGTCCATACTATGATATATGATCTGATCATGCTATTCTAGGTATTAAAAAAAAAAAATTCAGAAATCAAAAGTTGTACTAATTTCTTCTTTGTCTCTCTTAGAAGGGTAAATCATCACGAGATCTCGAGAAAGTATTACTCATCCAATCTTTAATATAAGACTTAATTATTAAGTTGATTTTGATTTTAAATATATGACTTATTTTTTATATTTATTAATTTTTTTAAAAATTAACTTTATGGATATTCTTTTAATCATAATTAAATAGAAAAGGGAAAGATGATAATATTGTTTTAAGAAAAATATGTCATATTTCTTATAATTAACTAACTTATTTAACTTTCTTAATTTAGTCAAATTAGTTAAATAGGTTTTATATTTATATTAAGAATTGGAGGAGTATAGTCACTGAAAAATCTTAATAATAAGTAAGTAGCATAAGCTTATTGTTATACATATTGTTTATTTGTGAGACTTTTTAGTGTTTACATTCTTTTCTTGGGATTTCATAGTGATTTTCCCTCCTCGAATCAATCAATCATATCCTCTAAAATTCACTTCACTTAATATATATATTTCAAGTGAATGAGATCATAATAATGAATCTCATTTTTTTTCTTTTTAGATGGATCTTAAGTGAAGTAAATTTTAAAGATCCAATTGAATACATTAAGCCTGGGAAAGGCATCAAATGGTTGGTTTGGGGCATGGGGTTTTGTTGATATTAGATTTAGAACGTATGGCGTGATAAGAGACACTTTTTTCCTCTGACATGTACAAAGAGCTTTATTTCACATGTGGACGAATAGTGTTTGGCTTTTGGGTCAGCAAAAGAATCGGTGGGATGCTTTTCATTTCAACTTTAACTATTGTACCCCAAAAAAACAAAAGAAAAACTTTAACTAAATGGATCTGAAAATGAAGGACAAGAGTCTGAGAATAAAGAAAAGATGAAAAACAAAAGAAAGGAGGAGATAGGATGAGTGCAAGCGGAGAAAGTGGAATTAGTGTTCCTACGTCATTTTCTTCCTTTTTTTTAAAAATAATACTACCTTCGGTCTTTAGTATAAGACCTAATTGACTAATTTGAAAAGATTAAGAAAATTAGTTGAGTTAATTATTTGTTACAAATAAGTGTTGTCTTTCCTAAAATACTCTTGCTAATCATGTATATTAGTTAGAATTAATATTTGATAAAACCTTTAACATGTGTAACTACTAAAAGGATTGTTTTGGAAAGAATGCATAAATATGAAAGAGAAAGTAAATTAGAGTCTTATATTTAGGACTAAATTAAAAGTCAGACAGTTCTTATAATGAGAAATGGAGATAGTAATGATAACAATAATGCAAATTGCCTCAACATGGCTTGTCCCCCCCCCCCCCCTATTTCCAGCCCTCCAATTCCCTCAACATGACTTGGAATTTTGACTATATATAATATCTTATCAATATTTCGGCTTAATAAGTCATTTCCAGTAACTCATAATGCATCACCTTCGCATCATAATCTCTAGATTGCCGATAGATTGTCGCAAGTGAACCTTTTTTGAAAAATTAATAGGCTAAACTGATCAAAGGCATATATGCATGCAACTTTTAAATAATGGTGACTTCTGATACGATTTACATATTTACTAATTATTAATTATGAGTTTAGTCTATAAACTTATTACACATATTTTTGCCAACTTATTTTAATAAATTATAAAAAGAAGTTCACATTTATATACATTGTTAATTATTAAAGATTGGTTCATAAACTTCTGAGAATAATTGAATTGACCAAAAATATTCAGGCTGAAAAGCAAATATTCAGCCCACGGTGGAGTGTTAGGGTTCAAACTGTCATAATACAACAAACAAAAAAGAATATGATTTTTGCTATTTACAAATGTCGACTAAGGACAAATTCGTTTCAATTCCTCCCTTTCATGCTTTTGCCGATAGAAAAAAAAAAAAAAAACAAGAAAAACTAACAGAAATTTGAACCCTAATTAACCAAAACCGTATGATCATGAACCCTCACAGTCCCAGCTAGTGCGGCCACTGCTTCCAACTTCTTCCAAGTCAACTGACGTTGAGCTTCCAAGTCTACAGCCATGGCTTCCTTCTCTGAGTACAGACTCAGGCAGCCTTCATAAAGTTTAGAATCCATTTCAAGCAACATCCCACGCACATTGGCTGAGAGCCCGTGCACTGCTTCGTTCCAATGCCCTTTCATGTTCTTCTCTACTGCCTCCAATATCAGTGGAAATATTACATCTCGATTCTCAGCTATTAAGCTTACTATGTGCCCATTGTTCCACAGGCCAAGTGTTCTTTCCGCAACCTGATCGATCCATGCAAAACTTATCAGAACCAATAGTCGTACGTATTCTCAAAGATCTGGATCAGGGAAATTTTTTTTCCGGTTTCACTCTGCATTATCTAGTGATGGGATTTATCATTAATAGTAAATGACACAGAATCTGGCCACCACACTAAGCATAACCAATCAAAGGAGTTCCAAAAACAATGAATCATATCAGTTCTTTTTCTCTAAGCTTTATTAATCAAATATGGCATTTTTCTTTCAACGAAGGCATCTAGGTACTCAACTATGTCACAGAAGAGACTGCATAGGGAGAGAGGAAGTTTCAAAGCAAGTAGTGTGACCAACTAAAGCCAAAGGAAACATCCCAATTGTCATGCACAGAATTTATTTAGTAAATTAAAGCTTATGTTCTGCTTCAGAATTGACAACCTAAAGACTTCGATTTTGTAGAATTTTTCCTTGATCCAACGGCATTAAGCCCGTGAACACCATTAACCAAAGAAAAAAACCTGAACAAAAAAATTATAAGGTAGATCCTGAACATTCCACAACTATTTCTAATTTACTTTCTCTTTGCAAGGATTTCAATGGAAACTCGAGAGAAATAGCATCATAATTTTCCTGGCCAGAGAAAAAGAAGGCAGAGCATGCACTGACAATAATTTCAGCATTGAAGCACCGATCCATAATAAACCTAATCCGCCCAGTACAAGATCCAATAAAGGAAGAAAAAGCGGAATGGAATTAATGCGCTAGGATTATGGAGTACTAGCTAGGTGATTCAGAAAAGAAAAAATGGTCCCCGAAAGATTTCAAAGGCATTAATAATTTAGACCTGATAACTTGCTTGATTGACAACAAACTTCTAAGAATTATAGCAACGGCAGTAATATTTTCAGGGACGATATGGTAGCGTGTTCATATCATCCGTACATGGTTACCAGAATATCATCTATTGACGAGTAGTACCTCCGGTTCTTAATATAAAAACTATTTAATTAATTTGAGTAGATTAAAAAAATTTGTTAAGTTAATTATCTGTAACAAAAATGAGCTTGAATTTCTGAAAGTATCTTTTTAATCATAACTCTCTTAAATGAAAACCTCCTTAATATGCATGATAAATAGGAATACTTTTGAGAATGAATTATTAATTTAGAAGACAACATGAATTGAGTATCATATTTAAGACTAAATATAATTTTCAACTAGCTTTAAAGATTAGAAGTAATATATGACAAGCTCCATGCACAATACCAAGTAAGATCACGGGTATCAAAATATAGCATCATGAATACAAACACACACACGTCACAAAACCTGGAAGTGAGGGCTCTTAAGGCAGCGACCAATCTGCCTGAAAAGAGGGACCATGAACAGTTTGAATTCTGCAGACTGAGTTGCCTCCAGAATTTCTTCTAGTTCTGCAAGGAAAAGGACCTCCTTCTGGCAATTTGTGACTGGCCAGTACTTCAGTAACCCCCTGATCACATATTCTGCCAACCTGTAGTCTTTCTCAACAAACTGAGTCATGCAATAAGACAGTGGTTGATAATAAGTGGAAAACCATGTTGGCTTGTGAAGTGGTATAAGTGCTCGGAATAGAAACAATCTATTCTCTTCTTTCATTGGAACTGAAAGCCCGTTTATGACGCTACCCTGAAACTCCAAAAGTTCGGCTATACCATTATGCCTCTCTGTTTCGAATATAAACCTGTAAAATATATTATTTATCACTCTCCTTATAAAAGGCCTGTGCAACATGAACTTCCCATATATTCGGTGAAGAATGGTTTTCAAACGCTCACGCTCTCGTGGGTCCTCCGAGTCGAACAAATCCAGCAATTTTAAAACAAATGTATGGTCAATGTAGCGCTTGGCAATCTTTGTCTCAGTCTCAAATGACACAATGTACATCAATAGGATTTCATACACGAGCTGCAAATGGGGCCACAATAAATTTAAATGTCTTTCGTCCTCTTCAGGATTCACAGTTTCAGTCCCTGTATTTTCATGGGATGCTGGTGGTAAACAACGGAAAATGTTAGCTGAAACCATCCCAATGAGCTGTTCTTGCATAACTTCATCGAATTTCAATGATCCAGATTGAATAATATCCAGTAGCTCATTAAGTGTTCGGCGTTTTATTTCCTTTTCACGAACCGACTTCAGATTGTCAGAATAGTCAAATACATAGCAACAGAGTTGAATTTTTCGAAGTAATACACTCGCGCGTTCTGAAACAGCAACTTCTCGCACTGGAGGTAGTAATTCTACTGCAGCGGAAATGGGCGGCGCCACTGCCGGAGCCAAGACTGTAGTGGTCCGAGATTCATGGTTCACAAAGACTTCTAACGGTCTATCACCGTCAAGAGAATACCCATTGATTTTCGATTTCGATGATTTCTTGGTACCACGCTTTCTGAACTTATTGAACATTTTACAAACAAGTCTTTAGCCAATCAAGAAACCCTACAAATTAGGAAAAGATAAGAAAATGAACGACAGAAGAGAGTGCAAGAGAAAGGAAAGATACACGTAGCGACGTACCGAGAGCCACGGATGAAGCCTAAGTTTGATTGAGGAAAAACGCGAAAACCGAGCGCAAAGCCAAATCATCTAGAACGGAGATGATGAAAAATGGAAAATAATTGGTGTGGGAAGCAATCTTAGGCGATGAAAAATTGAAAATTGGGAGAACTCCAACCTTAGAAAGGGATTTGGGAGCCGAGAAAATCGCGTTGAAGGAGGAGGCAAGGCGGGAAAAAGGCAACCATCTTTTGTTTTGTTTTCTTTTGCCTTGTTGTAAATTTTTATTTCTTTTTAAATTATAATCGAAGTCATTTCTCTATAAAAATCTCATTTTGATTTTAATTATGTGAAAATACTCTTAATATTTTTTCAATCAATATCAATATATCAATATATACTATAAAATTATGAGAGATTGGTTTATTTATAGATTATTAATTATTAATCGTGCAGTTGATTCTTTAGAATATAAGCTATCTCTCTCTTAATATTTTTCTCAATAATCAAATGAATTTTAATTTTCATTAATCAAATTCCTAAAATTTTATTCATAATTTCATATTATTATTTAATCTTATTGAACGAACAATTTTTTTCCTAAAATCTATGAAGAGATTGTGATCATTGAGTTGTGATTGTGAAATTTCAGACACTACAAATTAAATTTCAGAGATCAAATCAGTAACTCAAAATGAGGCAAATTTGGAGGACGGAGAATTTCGCTATCCTTATTTTTCCTATTAAATTTAAACAAAACAGCAGACCTCTTTTTTTTTTTTAATAACTTCAAAAGATGTGTCTTTTAGTTAACGAAGCACATATTCTAATAACTAAAAATGAGAAATATATTGTATAAGTTATAAATAATATAACATTTTATAAATTTTATAGTGGTATTTTGATCTGTCCCTTATTCCAAAGTTGGGCACACAAATATTTCTTTTTGTTGTTCTATCATTAACATTCTTTTGGCATGCGTAATTTGTAAATCTGAGTAATATAAAACTAAAAAAAGGGTGGTGGATAGTTGAATTGGGTTCATGCGTGTAAATTTTTATGTAAAAATTGAGTTTATTTGGTTTGATTAAACTAAAAAATTAATTTTTTTTATCACTTGTAAGACTTTAAGATTTTTTTTTCCAGTTTAGAAGGTATTCACTAATAATTTGAAATGACAAGTAGGCTGAATCCTCAATTTTTTTACTTACAAGAAAACTTTTATACTACTAGTTAGAAACACATTTGCATGTAAGTTAACCAAGCCAAACTTAACCCAAACAAATACAAAGGTCTAAGTGCTTGCTTGAATTGCAGTTGGAGGAGCCAAAATCTTGGTTTGGCATGGGAAAAACTGATTGAAGTATTTTTCTTTTTAATGTTTTCCTCACCCAACCTAGATTATGACTCTAAAACTACTTTTTGTGGTTTTTATCTGCAAACTATAGTTTGTGTTGTGCATCCTTAAAAATAATTTCTTCTTCCTGTTGCCTTCAAAAATATGAGTGTTGGGATTTGAACCCAGGCCACTTCAGGTCCAACGTGAAATTCATCCAGGGCTCAAAAATCCAGCAGTTACTAATTTAATAGGCACACTTAAGCCGTCAACATTCGAGCGGCACGTTGGTTTAGGGGTTGAAATGAAAGTCCTCCAACCTGCCACCAGTTCGAATCTGACAAGGAGAGATGAGAAGGGTTGAAGAAGAAGCGAGGTATTCTAAAATACCTCTTTTCATCTTTGCTTCTCTTCTCCTTTTTGATAATAATCATGAGTTATTTTTTACAGAGTTGAAATTATAGGCGTATTAACCAACTCTCTAGGGAAGTAATATTTCTTTTAATATGCAAACTATAATTCCAAAATGCGATTACCTAGATTTACAATCTATTCAACATTTAATGATACCATGGTCAATTGTTTTAACCGTCCATTACATTAATACAGATACAAATAAATAAACAAGTCCCTGGCCAAAAACAAATAAACAAGTCCAACTTTGGTTGCCCATTTGGTTTGATGCATTGCATTTGGATTCCCTGTAATCGAGATATAATGCCTTCTTTCAAGTGTTTGGTTGGTTTATTTAGGTAATCTACATTGGGATTACATCATATAAGGTAATAGGAATTACACTACTAAAAGTGAAGAATCAATAAAAAGACATTATTTGCCCATGCCTTCTCTATTATCTTCCTCTACCCCACTTGTTGCCAGCGCTCCTTCATTGACGACCTTTCCATACTCTAGCGACCCTTCCTCCTCCTTCCCCATTGATGACTTTTCCATACACCAACGACCCACTGATGACCTTTCCATATGATGACCTACCCTTCCTCATTCTCCTTCCCCCATTGATGAACTGGGCACCAAGTACATGTTGATAATCACTTGATTTATAAGTTGATAACCATAAAATCATGAACTTATAAGAACCATAAAATCTATTTGAAGCTAAAAAAATAAGAAGCAGAACTATAAAATCTATCATTAACAAAACTTCTAGCAATCAAAAGAGCAACAGGAAGCTACATATTAAGAGGAAAACATCTTTCTCTGCTTATAAAAATCAATTTGGCTCTATTTTTTTACCAACATTCCAAAAATTGAAAGTGCAAATAATTGAAAACTCAAATGAAAAAACTGATTAAGAAATATGACCCAGATTGGCATAGAAACTCCATTATTTGCTTAAGCTGAAGCAGCAGACTTGGCGAAGGAGGAGAAGAATAAAAGGAACTTGACAGACTGCGGACTGCGGTTCTATGAATGCGTGAAGGGAAATTGAAGAGCGAACAAGGAAGGCACGCATGACTGTGTTTTCTTTGCTAGCGTGGGATACTAGGATGAAGATGCCCAGTTCTTCCAAAGGTAGATGATTTTATTTAAGGCTATTTTTATCCTTTCAATTTTTTTCTTTTTAATTAAATATAAATAATGAATTTAATTTTATCACTCTTAATGATGTACCAAACAACTTCTTTGTAATCATCATTGCATTACATTATATTCCTAGTCATTACATCCCATTACATTCCCACTTATTCTGTGAACCAAACGGGCACTGGTAGTCATGCGTTCTGCACCGAAAATTCATTCACCAGAACGTAGACAGAACGAGGGAAAATAATAAATAAATGGCGCTAAATGAGAATGACACGAACTTAGGTTAAACTAGTGAAGTCTAATTTTAAACTGATGAAAATCTACTTAGTTTATCTACCACGTCAAATAAAAAATTACTATAAAAATATTATGGAAATACCCTGTGCTAGACTTACCATGAAGACAACTGATATGGAAATACCCTGTGCTCGACTTAAAAAATCTATGGAGCTAAAATTAGAATATAAATGCACCTAAAACAACTGATATTGAATATTTCTGACTTGCTAAGTGAAGACATGTTTGATAAAAGCAACATAAACACAGTAACTAAATTGAAAACACAGAAGGCTATATGGAATTAGGATACTAAGCACGCATCAAGAAATCAAATTCTATAAACAAGATGGCAATTCGGCTGCAGAACATCAGCACATATGAGTTACATACTAACATTAACCAGTGAAAAGCAAGCTACTACTTGTATGCACCTAATTCCATGGAAATAATATCTCCAACATAAATTGAAGCGGCAGTTTGGATTTGATCATCCATCCGCTCCAATTGCAAAGCACAAAAGGGGGCGAAACACTATACATCATCAAGTTTTGACAAACAGAACTGGGGATCTATGCTGACTTTAGATTGCAAAAAAAGAGTTAGTAGTTATTAACTAAACGAAACAACCAAGGTCAGTTTCCTTCTTTGGGCTAGATAGCACGTTCGGATGTCATTCACCATCCACTGGTGCCGGTCCCGTCATTTTTCTTACCCCAAGAACCTGCTCCTCCTGCATGAATAGTCACAATGATATTTGCAATTTGAATTGTTCAGTTTGTATGAATAATTGCATATACTAAGGTGGCAGATCTTATCAGTATTACACATTATTTCAAACAATGGGACAAACAGAAGCTAGCTTCATTTTACTCCAAGAAGGTAAGGCAATCTATTCTGCAAACTCCTCTTTTTGTTATCAAGAGGATGAAGATGAGCCAGGGTGGTGTCTCTATTCAATGAACCTAGGATCTACCTTTCTTTGGGAAGCAATACCATGGGTGATAGATCAGTACGAGGCTGTTTGGCCTGAGCTTTGGAAGCTGGAGATTTCTCCTAAACTGAATGTTTGCTTGGAGGCTCCTACGCAAGGCTATTACTAGAGGAGCCCCCCCCCCCCCCCCAAAAAAAAAGGGGGGGTGTTTGTTGTTGGTACTCAAGAATCATCGCATTTAAGTCAGCCCCAATGTGTTTAAGGCTGTGATAAGAATGAAACTTTAGATCACATTTCCCTAGAACTTGAAATGGCCAGATGCATATAGTTCGTTAAGCGTATCTATATGAGCTTTGGAAGTAAAACACAAGGGGATATGCTTGTGGCTTGCAGAGATCATCCAAGAAGCCAAAAGGAACCAGTCACCCATTGGCACAAGCTTTTCTCTCGGTGGCTTTTGGGCTTTGGCATGCTAGGAACAAGGCAATACATAAAGGAATTATTTTGAATCCACGCACAATCTCTCTCATAGGATGAAAGAATAAAGTACGATACACAAGAATGCCGTGTAATTTTGATAGGACTCACGAGAAGTTTGCTCTGAAAATGGAAAAGATGTCTTCATGATTTCAACAAACCTCAAAGAAAGTCAGCAAATTACTTTACTCCTTTATTATGTGGAAATTCGGAATTATCTACTAATATTTAGATCTATTTGTGTCATTACTGCCATACCACTTGATGCATTCCAACTCGATGATTGACCCTTATCAGTAGCACTTGATTGACCCCAAGTATCTTCCTTCTGATTCAACTCAGGCTTGGCCCAACAGTTTCCCTCGTCCATCACATTTGGATGAGTAGACTCGGTTGCTTTGTTCCAGCCAGAATTTTCTTTAGCATCTGTCGGCTGGTCTGAGCTCTTGCTGTTCCAAGCACCACTGGATTCTCCTGCTGAACCCCAACTCTGCCATTGTTTTTTGCTTCCACCTCCTTGATTCCAGTTCGAGTGCTCCTTCCTGTCAGCATTCCCTTGGTTCCAAGCCGCTCCAGACTCACTGCTATTCTTCCACCCCTCATTATCATTATCTGTCTCCTTCTTCCAGTCAGAGGAATCATCACCAAAATCCTTTTTACTACTCCAACCCCCAGGTTGCTCCCTCCTTCCACAGCCTCGGCCTCCAAATCCGCTTTCTGATCCCCATCTACCGCCAAAGTCTTCCCTGTTTGATCTGCCCCTGCCACGAAATCCCCCACGTTCACCTCCCCTGCCACCACCAAAACCCCCTCGATCACCTCCCCGACCACCGAAGCTCCCCCGTTCTCCTCTACCCCGAAAACCTCCCCTCCCCCTAAATCCACCTCTGTCTGAGCCACCCCTGCCCCCAAATCCACCTCTGTCTGAGCCACCCCTGCCCCCATTACCACCATTCCAATTCCCCTGGTACCCATCATCACCAGAAGCCTCATTACCACCATTAAACTCGTTTCCATTCAAGTCATTTCCAGAGTTCCAACTACTGTTCCTTCTCCAGTTGGTGTCTTGATTGCCAGATCCAGAATTCCAGTTGCTTTTCCTTCCCCAGTTGGAATCCTGATTTCCAGCATCAGCACGACCAGAATTCCAGATTGAACCACTTCCTTGACCCCAGCTAGGTTTCTTTCCAATTTCAGCAGTTTCTCTTCTGTTCCAACCACTTTGATCATTAGCCAGACCCTCCTTAGTATCACTTCTTTTGCCACCCCACTTCAAATCTTTGCTACCTCCAGCATTAGTCAATTTGGTGTTCCAATTGCTTGATTTGTCCAAATCAGAACTCTGGTTTTCAGCCACATCAGTTGCACCAACTTCAGAGGTGTTCCAGTCAGAACTTTGTTTGTTGCCAGAACTTGATCCACTTTTCCAGCCAGGACTATTACCCCATCCAGCCGAAACATCACTTGAACTTTTTTGACCACTACCTTGACCCCATCCTGCTGCTGGACTTTTACTTGATGTTTTTTCCCTATTCCAAGAAGACTGACCACGTTGCTCACCAATATTCTCATCAGATTTCTGACCCCAAACAGAGGGCTCTCCTCCTGAAGCCTTAGAAGCATTCCAGTTGCTTTTAAGGTTCCGTCCAGAGGGTTGGTCCCCATCCACATCACTTGAACTCGGTTTCAGAGAGCCCCACACAGAATCTGAATTTCCTCCAGAGTTATCTTCATGGTTAGACTTAGTTTTCCTACCAGCATCCTGATTAACAGAAGGGTTTCCGACTTCTTTGGCTTCACTACTTCCAGACTTCCAAGCACCCCAATTAGTGTTTGAGTTTCCTCCATCAGCCAATCCGCTTTTTTGACCACCACCTTGACCCCATCCTGCTGCTGGCCTTTTACTTGATATTGTCTCCCTATTCCAAGAAGATTGACCACGTTGCTCACCAATATTCTCATCAGATTTCTGACCCCAAACAGAGGGCTCTCCTCCTGAAGCCTTAGAAGCATTCCAGCTGCTTTTAAGGTTCCTTCCAGAGGGTTGCTCTCCATCCACATCACTTGAACTGGGTTTCTGAGAGCCCCAGACAGAATCTGAATGTCCTCCAGAGTTATCTTCATGGTTAGATTTAGTTTTCCAACCAGCATCCTGATTAACAGAAGGGTTTCCGACTTCTTTGGCTTCACTACTTCCAGACTTCCAAGCACCCCAACTAGAGTTTGAGTTTCCTCCATCAGCCAATCCGCTTTTTTGACCACTACCTTGACCCCAGCCTGAAGATTGACAACTTTGGTCTCTAATATCCTCATCACATTTCCGACCCCAACTAGAGGGCTCCCCTCCTGAAGCTTTGGAAGTATTCCATCCACCAGATTGATCTGGGTCAGAAGCAGTTCTGGCATTGTCAGCTGCTGCACCCCAGGATGATTTCTTAACTGAAGTATTCCTGACTCCCCAAGCATTATGTTCTACACCTATCCATCAGAAGGACAGTAAAACATCTACGCAATACATAATTATAATACAAGCTAGTAATATGGAGCAGTGACACGGTAAAAATACCTTCACCAGAAGCATCACCCTCAGAATTCATAGGATTTGAAAGAGATTCAGACTGCAGCAACAGCAAGATGATAAGCAAATGAAAAATGGATGCAGAAAATTGTTTATATTAATTGCGTTATTAGCAAACATGAATAAATGGACTTTGTGCTCATACATGACCTCATGATGATAGTGTACATGTGTTATTGATGCAGATTCTATATACAGTATGCCAATCAAAATAGAATTGACATATTAGTATTATGCACAATAAGAGCTTATACATTATCGCTGCAATGCAAATACAAGACATACCGGGAGGTTTGACGTAGAAGGGTTAGACCAGCCACTCCTGCACAAGCTTATCATAAGACAAAAGCCAATATAACAAAAACAACTCACGAATGAAAGAAAATACGGGACCATACAAATTTATCTAAAATCCCCCAATAAAATCTAGACAATATGAGCCTCAACCTTTGGTGACCACTCCCTCAAGAATTATAAGGTTCAACATATTTTACATAGATTTGCCAAAAATATATAGCATATCCTTTCCCTAAGCAAATTGATCAATAGAAGGACATCAATGCAGGACATAGAGAAATAGGCTACATCAACAAACAACTAAAATCATAATCTTAAATATTTTATAAGCAAAGCAATCATCTTCACGGGCCCAGATGGTTCACTCTCAACCTATGGTTGCAATATAGATAACATCCAAAGTGAATATCAAATCTTCTGGCACATAGAGCAAATGATAAAGCAAGTAAACTACTTGTTTGAGATGAAAAAATCAAGTGGATTAATTAATGTCATCATTGTCCGTACCTTTCAGATTGTACTCCTCCAGTATTCCATCCGTCACCCCCAGCTGATGCTCCAATTCCATCCATCCAACCTTTACATAAACTCATTGTCAAATGCTAAGTCTCTCCACTCAGGAGATGTAGAACATCAATGACAAACAGGAAATAGATACGGAACTAGCATCCAAATTAATAAATAATCCAGTTTCATGGGTAAAACTTCCGCATATTGCCAAAGAAGAAAATAGTGACAAATAATAGGATTCCTACCTCCTGAACTTTCCCCAGTACCCAGTAGACCAAACGGTTTGCTTGAATCTGGGTCAACGCTGATAAATAAAAGATGCAACAAATCAATTTTTTGGGCCAAAGTTTGCAATCGGAAAGAATCACACAAACAAGAACTACTATAAAAAGTACCTTGATGACATAGAAGTTTTCTTCCCTTGTACCTCGGAAAGATGCTCACATTTAACTGAATGAAAATCAACAATTGAGAAAATTAGGCCATCACTTAACACACAGGAAAAACCATGATTGGCACACCATAAACAAACCTGTAAGAACCTTTTGCTGAGAATCAAGTTTCACAGTAACATCAGAGCGACGTATAGCTATGACCCGACAGAGATATCCCTTCAAAGGGCCCACTCTAATTCTCAAGGTTTGACCAATAGTATATAATCCATCATTGTTTCCATTGCTGACTGCACCAAAAAACAAAACAAAACAATACATCATGCAAAATCATTAACGAGAAGATCTAGAACAAAAAGATTTCTCTAAGACTCAGGCTTCTTTGCACTCACGGTTATTTTCCCTTGCTTGCCACGGCCTTTCAGGTGACAAAGGGGATTTAGGAGATGTTGGCAAATCTTCGAAGGCTGAAGAATCTGGTTCATTGCCCTGTGTGTATATTATGGCAAAAAATCATCAAAACCCATTTTAGGTAGCCATAAAGTTCATATTTTAAAAAAAGAATTCCAACCTTTTCACTACAATCACCAGCACTATGCTTGAGTTTCTCGCACATATGAGATTTGGCAGTAATATAACCACCATTCTCTTCCTCATTACCATCATATATAAAGACAACCCCTCTATAGATGTACCTAACAATTCCTTGTTTACCCTGCAAAATGACATGGAGCGGTGTTCTAAATTCAAGACAGATTCCAAAAAAGATGACAAATGAAAATATAGAACATCCTAAGCACCAGACCTCACATGGGCCCCCAATAATCCTGACAGTATCATTAACAGTGATGGTCTTATTCTGCTGATCTTGGGCACTAAATTTTACATCAACTAGTCCATTCTTTATGTTACGGCGTTCAACAGTTGTAGCTACAGGTCCATCAGGACTCTCTTTCAGTATCTATAACAGACAAAAGCGTTAATAAGATTGTGCTATCTTTAAAGAGGAGATGGTCTAGATCGAATGCTTGTTACAAGTGCTGCGTAGGCTCAATACCATACCTTGTAGGTATCATCTTTATCCATGCCTATGATAACACCAAAGTCTTTCTTGCTGCAATAGTAAATACATATGAAATGAAGGTTTTATGTATTTAATTTTAATGTAAATCAGTGCAAATTCATGTATGCGCATGTGAGAGAGTGTGTGTGTGTGAGAGAGAGAGATAGAGAGAGATAGAGGTGCAGGTCCATGCAGTATCATGAACGCTAAAAGTTCACAAGGACTTACCCAAAACATACAAGATCATACATTTCAAAACCTTTCACTACACCAGAGCTAGATGAGCCCTCTCCTTTCTCACCTACCTTATCTCCTCTTATATTCCGCTTTTTCTTAGGCTCACCATAAATCTGAGTCAGCCACTCCATATCATTTGATACAGTGTTTTCAGATGGTACAAATTTTAAGATCTCCTCATCCTTCGGCACAACACCCCAAAAATTTAATGAATCCATAGATACTTTCTTGTAAAGATATCCATCCTTGAGCATTAGACCATCAAGAACCTCAAAGACCTTGCCAGTCTCACGATCACGTCTATAATGCATGAGAGGTCGAAATTCCCTGCGGAGTTAAAATTGAGACAGTTACTTCTGAAAATCCACCAGGCAAAGAATTAACAGCCCATAAGGATACACAATATTACTCAAGTTCACTGGAGCTGATTAATCTTGCAGCTGGTGTGTCGTTGTTTTGAAGCCTATGTCCTCCACCCTGTCAAATATTAGAAAAATAGATCCACTGAGATTGCTATATTCTTGTATTACTGAAGACAAGGTTATAATTATAAAAGGATAAGAACAGTTAGTGTAAATGATACTTTTCTAGTCCTATTTATGAGGCAGAGAGAGAAGGTTTTTCTTGATCCTATTTATAAGTCACTTCATTATTGTAGATAGTTTTTTTTTTTTTTTTTTTTTTGGAAAGCTGTCTAATTAAATAGGAATAAAGTTGGAAAGTTGTTATATTTTAATGAAAAGTTAGTGCAGTTTAAAGTTTTCATTGGTCTATATAAAATATGCTAGAAATGTCTTAGAAATAAAACCAGAGGAGTACAATACAACATCCACCACTTAATATCAATAGAAATCAAATGAGCATCTGATAAGAAATAGGCCAAGGTTCAATCATCAACCAATATATGCTTGTTTCTAGCAAGCATATGACAAAGAATAATACATTTCAGACATTAATTCAGGATATAAAGATTACCACATTAACTTATGCATCCTCCCTACCACATTAACTTATGTATCCTCCTCAAAATCTTACATTTACAGACACAAATATATCAAATAATGTTTCGACCAGGTCGGAGCTTGATCGCACGTGCATTAAATCAAGTAGGAAATACTTAATTGTGAACGTGAATCCCTTCTGATTTCATTTGGAGCAGCTATTCGCCAATGTACACAGTCCTAAGGTTTACTGCGATACATAAATATTACGAACAGATACTTACATGGTACTCAAATGGAAATAATTAACAACCACCACAGCTAATACAGGAAGAGCAGGAAAAAAAAGAAAAAAAAAAAAGAAAAGAAAGATCTAAAATAATAAGTTATGAAGATCTCGTTACAAATTTGGCAGCCATCGCTTGTAAATCAATTCTCGGAATAAGCTTCACTGTCACTTTTTTCCGTGTATTGTTCACAGCCACAACCTGCAGAAATAGAATAGACACACAGCAATAAGCTTTTCATATGTTAGCAAGGAGGATATAACTCTAGAACATTTTATTTGTGCAGTACCTGTGTTAGGTCACCCTTGTATTTACCATTTTTCACTCGGGCCCACATACCCACAGAAACTTCATTGCATCTACTTCGTACTGAGAACAGATGAAGAATTTCATTCTTTGGAAGAGGATGCACTCGAGTAACATAAATACCAGAGATCCCATTGCATGCCTGAAATTCAATATTAATAACAGATCAAAAGATTTAGCTGCAAGTAGGAACATTTCAAAACTGATTGGTATGAATTACTTGATCAACATCTCCAGTACATGACTTACCTGATAAATATCATATTGCTTTTCAGCTTCAATGTAGATATATCCCTTCATATGGTCAACAGCAAATGCAGATATTATCTGCAGTTTATTACCCAGGGATTTCAATTCAACAAACTTCTGCATCAGACAGAAAGCCAAAAGCCTTTCACGCCCAACCTGCAGCAACCAAAGATTAGAAGGGAGGAATTGAACTGACGAAGCAACCAAAGTCGTTAGGTGGTGACGACTGCAACTTTTATTAGTAAAAATTAGTAAAAACAGGATACAGAAGTCATACTGTGCATTTGACTTTCCAAATAGTGGGCATTGATTCAATGGCGGTTGTTAAAGAATTCAACTCGAATGTTTTCTCATCATACTCTTCTCCAGCGAAGGTAGCGAACGTAGAGCTATTGCCATAACGTGCTTCCATCATTTTATCAAACTCTTCCTCATCCATCTCTTCCTCTTTGGGAAAAACTGGAAGGCTATGGGCCTTAGCAGGTTCATTCTTTGTTGGTTGCACGGTATCAAAATCCTCGTCTAGAAAATCTGTTGAACAATTTTCAGAAAACTACCCAAAGAAGAAGCATGAATGAAAGAAAAATTGACTTGAACTGGCAAAAATAATAATAATTCCATTTCTAAGAAGTCCAAAGCAATGACCAAAGAAAACATGCAATTAAAGTAATCAAACAACTAGGGGAAAAAAATGGTGCCAACCCGGCAAGATTGAGACCAAATCATAAAAAGGGGGATGAATGCCAACAGCAAATGAGGAAATAAATCAGAATGCCATGCTCAAGAGCAAATAAAATATTTTTCCTATTTCTCTATGACGTAACAAGCATTGCTAGTATGAAAAAGGCGACTCAGAGTTCCAGAGAACCGTAGACCAATCTTCTATATGAAATGCCACTCATTGATATGTATAAACAGTAAAAACCAAGGAAAGCTGGACCAAAAATAGAAATCAGGCAAGCTTTGATGGCTGCAAGCTTGACAAAGACAAGTTCTACAACGAGCCCAGAAAACCATGAAGAAGAAGGACCGAAAATGACCACCAAAGACATGAAATTCAAGCTGCCCAGCCCACCCAATCATTAATTACCTCCTCACAGAGCAAAAACAACCGGATTGAGAAAAGTTCGACAGCCAATGAAACCAACAAATATGGTCAAAACCCTACTGAGAGCCGGCAAAAGCGCGAGCAATAAACAAAATGTACGACCAGAAGAAAGAGCCACAAGCATATCCATACCATCATCAAAGTCACTGTCGAAGCTGTCGTCGGTATCTCCAGCCTCAGCAGCATCTTCGAAGAACTGCAGAACCCCCCGGTTCCTCGTCTTGTGGCCACCGCCAGACTTGTCATTCCCATCGATTCGCTTCCTCTTTCCGGATGAATCTTTGCCGGCGACTTCCTTGCCCTTGATCGTCATTTCCGGCGAGAATGCAGAACGCCAAACGCATGTAGATTGTCAGAGACTGAAGAGAGCGGAAGAAAGTGGGGAGTGAGAAATTGCGAAAATGAATTATGTCCCTTTTGCTTCAAAACCTTTTTTTTTAGGAACTCAAAAGGAGTATTTTTATTTATGAGAACTAAAAACAAGACAAATAGTAATAAAATTAATTTTTGCCACATAATAGTGCTAAAATTAATTATTAATTTTTTAATATTATTATCTGCAGCAACATATTCACCTATATCATAGTTAATTTTAACGTGGTTGATGGTTTCATAATTAATTTAATCAACATATGCGTGTTTAAATATAAAATGTCAAATGAGACGGAATGAAAATGAAAATTTAATATATTATAATTATAAAATGTTATATTATTGAAATTTTCTTTTTGTTCTTTTTCTTTTTTTTATTGCTAAGGGTGACTTAGAGGTTGAAAAATGGGAACTAATAAACTCTTGCGAAAATATATGTTACCGTAAAGGTCACTTGCTTCATAAGACCGAAATCTTCATCATGCATGGGATGAAACCCAGGCATGGCATTTCGAAAAAGTTGTAAGCCTAGAATGAGTTTTTTGAAATTAAAAAAAAAAGAAAGAAAACAGAAGCAAAAACAAAATACTACCTCCGGTCCTTAATATAAAACCCTGTTTGACTTTTATTTTGATCCTAAATATAAAACCCCAATCCACTTTATCTCTCATATTTATGCATTTTTTCCCAAGGTAGTCCTTCTAATAATTATAGTTCTAGCCAATATAGTTGATTAGTAAGGATATTTTAGGAAAGACAACACCTATTTATTACAAATAACTAACTTAACTTTTTTTTCTTAATCTCCTCAAATTAGTCAACTGGATTTTATAATTAGGACCGGAGGTAGTATTAGCATATGATAAGAAGAGTCATTTGTAGAGATGGGATAAATGTAAACACCTCTCTCAAAAAGTTAAATCTTATTCCGTTATATTGTGTGGAACTAATTTTAAAAGTTAGAATCAACCCCAGGTAGAGATAGAAAGTTTTTTTTTTAATGCTAAAACATAGGTATCCTTTTATTGGAGATAATTTTATTTGAGATATTGTCGAGCACTAAATGTGGATACCTTTTCTAACAAGAATTTGAATCTTGATTCGTCACGTTGTAAGAAACTAGTCCCTTCTGTTGGTGAGTGAAAATAGGAAGTTGGTGGTTGAAAAAACAACAAAAATGTAATGGGCCCCGTTAGGCTCATATGGCCCATCCATGAACAAATTGAGCCTAATACAACCATAAACAAATTGGGCTAACTGTGTCTATCCATGTAGTTGGCCCAAAAAATATATTTGTCTGTCCATATTAAGTTCAAGCACCAAATTTGTTAAACCGAGTTTAGATTTAGTTTTTCCACCATGAAGAAAAATCCGTTAAGTTGTTGTTTCAAAAGTTTTCACGAGTGTTAGGTTCCGAAAAAAAAATTTCGTGCAAATTTACTTTAAAAGTTAAAAATATTAACAATTTTACTTTTTACTGCTAAAAATATTAATAGTCAATATCTCTATTTTAATCATCAATATTAGTTTTTTAATGCTATAAGGCAATATTGTTATAATTTTAAAATTTTAGGATAAATTTGTATAAAAAATCTTTCAGATACTAAATTTCAAGTAAAAACTTTCGAGACAAATTTGTATTTTAACCTTCAAAATTTTTAGAACAGCACTTAATTGCTCCATGTTAGAAATCACATTGGAAGATGCAAAAGACCACCTGATGATGAAATACTTAGTGTATAAAAAAAATTTTAAGTTTGCACAAAAAAAGAATCATTTAACTTTTTAAATGCCCAAAAAATTGTCTTCCTTGTTTCAAGCATCATTCAAAATTCAACAAGAACAATTATATCCTTTAAAATTTCAGTTGACAAAAATTAAAATTCACGCGTGAAGTACAACCTAAATGAGTGAGGTCGAAAGAAGAGGAAGAACCTGAATAAGCTATTTGATTGTTGTTTTTTAACGAAGAAGTATTCCGAATTTGGCTCACGTCTAGAAACAAAATGAGTATCTTTTTTTTTTTTTTGGCCGGAGAAATTTATATTCATATCATGAGTATCTTATGACTTCAATACTTTTACCATAAAAATTTAATGTTTTTGTAGCAATTATATAATTTTACTCCTCCGGTCCTAATTATAAGACCCAATTGACTTATTTGAGGAGATTAAGGAAGTAAGTTAAGTTGGTTATTTATAGTAAATAAGTGTTGTCATTCCTAAAATATCCTTACTAATAAGTATATTGGTTAAAACTATCATTATTAGAAGGATTATCTTGGAAAAAAATGTATAAATATAAGAGACAAATGGATTGGGGTCTTATAATTAGGACCAAATAAAAAGTCAAATGGGGTCTTATAATAAGGATCGGAGGAGTCTCTATTAAGTCAAATCGATTATGTCGATGTTGAATAAAATGATGACAGCTCATTAAGGATCCCAAAATTTTGAAATTCCACCTAAGGGCCAAGGACCTTTAGTAATTAAAAATGCTATCAACCAGAAAATACATAAAACTGAAAATCATCAAAGTTTTAGACTTTGTAATTTTTAGGCATTTCAAATTGAACTTGAGTTAGAAAAACGACAATGTTAGAAAACAAAGAAGTTTTTAGCTCAAAAAAGAACACAGAAGTTATCTATGGAACGGGTCTCAGATCAGATATTTACAAGCCAGTAGGGGGGGTACATGTTGGTTCCCCCCCCTCCCCAACGAAGACAGCATCGATTAGCCCTTGATTAATAATTTTCAACTCTGGGGCCTTAACTATTACTATTTTGGGGTTTCCAATTGGTTGAATTTAATCACGAAACTACCTCTGATTCTTAATATAAGATCTTATTTGATTTTTATTTTGATCCTAAATATAAGACCCCCAATCTATTTTGTCTCTAATATTTATATATTTTTTCAAGATAGTCCTTCTAACAATGATAGTTCTAACTAATATATTTGATTAGCAAGGATATTTTAGGAAAAATAACACATATTTATTATAAATAATTAACTTAACTTCTTTCCTTAATCTCCTCAAATTAATTAACTAGCTCTCATAACTAGGACCGGAGATACTATCTCCGGTCCTTAGTATAAGACTTTGTTTGACTTTTATTTTGGTCCTAAATATAATACCCTAATCTATTTTGTCTCTAATATTTATCTATTTTTTTCTAAGATAATCTTTCTAATAATAATAGTTCTAAATAACAAACTTGGTTAGCAAGGATATTTTAGGAAAAATAACATCTATTTATTACAAATAACTAATTTAACTAAGTTCCTTAATCTCTCCAAATTAGTCAACTGGGTCTTTTAATTAGAACCGGAGGTAGTATTAATTTATTTTATCTATTGTGTTTATTATTTTTTTAAAATTAATTTATTTAATTTATAAGCTAATGTTATACATAAGTATTTTAGGGAAGTAATATCACATTTATTATAATTAACTTATATATTTTATTTTTTAATATATATAAATTAGTTAAATAATTTTTATATTAATAACCAGCAAGAGTAGCATCCTGCTAAGAAATATATGACCATCATTTCCTCTTGCCCGTAGTGGTGCAAAAAGTGACATTAAAACTCAATCCGTGTTACCTAATCAGATGAGTTAACTGGTGAACGAGTCATCTAACTAGTTCGATCAAGAGTGGTAATTTCCCCCCTCTACCGTTGGGCCTAAAACGACATCGTCTTATGGGGTTTATATCTCCTCAATCTATTTACTTTTTTCTCAATCAAGACTTTTATTTTTTTCCGGTCAAAAAAAAAATCAAGACTTTTATTCCATTTACATATTAATTAATGTTTCTTTTCGTTTAAATATTATTCCTTTAAGGATTGGATTATATATATATGAGTATTTTCGTATACCAGTTCAACTACAATTAGACTATTAACCTTGAATTGATTCAATGATTAATCTGATGTTTAGTACTACCTATTATCCTTAATATAAGAACTAATTGACTAATTTAATTAGGTTAAAAAAGTTTGTTAAGTTAGTTACTTGTAATAAATATGTGTTTTCTTTCTTAAAATATTCTTACTAATCAAATGTTAGTTAGAACTATTATTATTACGAAAACTATCTTACAAAAAAAATATAAGAGGCAAGATGAATTAAAGTCTTATATTTAAGATTAAAATAAAAATCAAATAAAGAAGATAATGTGTGGAGCAAATGGAGACAAAAGCACGCGCGACGCAAATTGAGAAAGAGATTGGATTTAGTTTTTTTTTTTTGACCAGTGGATTTAGTTGTCTGAATGGGATATGTGTGAATAAATATGATTGCCCTCAAGATCGATGGGTTGGCGTGACCAAAACTTCTCTCTCATTATTTCTCCCTAGTGATAGTGTTCATAATGTCCTGTATGCACTAAATTTTTGTTCACATTGATAGATAAGTTACCACCAACGAAGAAAGAAGAGGATTGGAGCAACTCAGGAATATAGAATTAATTAGATTATAATTAATTAGTTATATTTATTTGCATCTGTAACTTTATTGGACAGTTATTAATATACCAATATAAAATGGAGCCTAATTATTTAAAAAAAATACGCGTCAATAGGTGTATTTATAAAATTTGTTATACTTTTCCTTTCTTTTCCTTATTGTTGTACTGCCCAACGGGGCCTGCATCTAATTGCTTACTTAATACAAGAAAAAATTACTTAATACAAGAGAAGCTTTTGTTGAATTGATTATATTTTATTAACTCCTCGTTTTCATGATTTTTTTAAAATCATTTATGATAAATGTTGACTCTTATGCTATTTCTGATTCTTAATATAAGACTTTGTTTGACTTTTATTTTGATCTTAAATATAAGATTCCAATCCACTTTGTCTCTCATATTTATACATTTTTTTAAAGTAGTCCTTCTAACAATAGTAGTTTTAGCCAATACACTCGATTAGCAAGAATATTTTAGGAAAAACAACACATATTTATTATAAATAACTAACTCAACTTCTTTTCTTAATCTCCTCAAATTAGTCAACTAGC